TTCTTGTCTTTCATCATGTCGGGGAAACTGTCTTCCAACAAATTGTTGACAATTTTTTCTGTGGTTTTATTCATCTCTTCCTATTCTGGAATTCCGATTACATGTAGGTTATCCCTTTTATTTGTCTCTTCCTGTTGGAATTCTGATTACATGTAGTTTATCCCTTTTTATGATATCCCACATGAACCTTAAGCTTTCTTCATTTTGTTTTGATCTTTTTTCTGATTGATCCCTTTCCAAAGAAGTATTGAGGTATTTGTCTTCAATCTCACTAATTCTGTCTTCCATTGATTCAGTTCTACTCTTTTGCCTGTTTAGTGTGATATATATTTCTGAAAATTTAGTATTAATCTTCCGGATTTCTATCTGTAGATTTTGTATCATTTCTAATTTTTTATTTATTTTGTCATTTTGTTCTTGTACTGTCTTCTGAAATTGTTTTGGGTTTTCCTTAATTTTGTCAGTGTTTTTCTTGATCTGTGTCTCAGTCCGTTGAAGGTACCTAAACATAATTCTTTTGAAATCCTTATCAGAGAGTTCCAATGCTGCTTCATCCTCAGGGATGTGTTCTGGGTCTGTATTCTAGTCCCTTGTTCCTCCTGCTTTATCTTGCTTCTTTGTGTGGGCTGTGGTGGTCTGTTGTCTCTGAGACATTGTGACATTTTTGTGTTTATATTTAATTGGGGATTGTATGTTGGAGTGACTTGCCCATGATTTTCATTTAATTTATTTTGTTTGGATGTTATCTGAGTAAGCAGGGTACTGTGCTCCTCGGTTTGCTAGTAGGCAGCAGTTATGCACTCACGGCCTGTCTCCTTTCCAGTCGTCAGCCTCCCGTATGTCCATGCTGCCTTTGGCAAGCGGAGGCTATTCTTAGGTCCCTGGAATCTGAACGAGAATGCTATCACTTTAAATGTCCAAAATGACTGCATCTTCCAGACAGCCAAAAGTCCACAGCTCTGTTTGTCTCCTTCTTTGCTGTTTCTTCTTTTTAGTCATCAGCCACCAGTACAGTCGTCCATGCAGCCCTTGGTGAGCAGGGCTGATTTTTAGGTTACTTTTCAGGTCCTAGCACTGCTAACCAGAGTCTAACGGTTCAAAGCCACCAGCCACTCCTCAGAAGGAAGGTTGAACAGTCTACTTCCATAGAGATACCACCTTGGAAACCCAAGGAGGGGTTGCTATGTGTCAAATCAACTCGACAGCAATTAGTGAGAAAGAAACACCTCTTGAAAATATTCCTGCTGTCCATGTTGTCAGGATAGCTGACAGTCCGCAGCTCTGTTTGTCTCCTTATTCACTGTTTTCATTCAGGTTCTTTTACTAGTTGGTATTTAATCCATTTCTGTATCCTTCCTTTCAGAGCTCAGGGCTCCAGGATTATCTTCTGTATCTGTGTCAACTGGTTTCTCTTTTCTTTGTTGAAGAGAGTCTGTGTAGATTACCTGCCTATTCCACCATCTTATTGGAAGTCCTCCAGTGCACTATAACTTAATTTTGTCATAGTCTTTTGTCTGAGAAAATTGAAGCCTCAGCTTTAATATTTTTTTCTGTGTTTCCATTTGACTAATTTGTTCTAATTTGAAGTTGAAATGAGGGGAATAAATACTTCTTTTAAACAATAATTATCATGTAAACATTTATTTAGAAAGCATGTTTCTCAATTTCTTATATAATTTGATTTAGAATCATCAAAACACAGATTATCTGTGAAGTGTAAAAATAAAGACAATTTCCAAGAAAAGGTTTTTATGTGTAAGGAAATCTTTGTTGATTACCAGAGGTAGGAGGGGAGAGAACACTGCAAAAAAAATGAATTGACCCATGTCACTTTAGTTTTGTGTATTTCACTGTACATAAATTATATTTCAATAAAATGTATTGTAAAAAATAAAGACAATTTCAAAATATTCTGCACGTATTTTTCCCTATTGCCTCTTCAAACAGGTAAACATGCATAATATCATTAATGCCTTTGTTCCTAGGATTATAGAATTATGTCACCAGTTCCCTCATGGCATCACAGATCAAGTAATTCAGAATGAAATGCCTCATATAGAAGCCCAGCAGCGGGCAGTGGCCATCAATAGACTCTTGTCCATGGTAAGATTAATCAAACTCATTCATATAATTATTTACATGACATGATTATTATTCTTCCTATTAAGTAGCCATAAAATCAGATAGCATGTTAGTTTGTAACTAATATAACTACATATTAGGAAACAGCACAGACTACCTAAAATTAGGGAAGAAGAAATAATTATAGATAATTTTATAAGAGGTATGAAAATAAATGGTATTTTATTATAATTACTGTGTTTTTCAGTCTGATTGTCACTAAGGTACAAAAGGACACATAAGCACTATGCTCACCTTCTGTTTGCTTCTTACTGATATTATTGGACCCTTCCCTCTGACATTCACAGAGCCATTTCATTAGGGATTAATGAATCCCCAGCCTTATACTGCATATTTCCCCAGCCTTATACTGCATATTTCAGGAGGCAGAAATGAGTCCAGTTGAATGTCAGTAGTCTTGAGCCTGAAAAGAAGTGCAGGCAAAGGTTTCAGTGAAGTAGCAGAATGGTGTTTCTCCCAGCTATTACCTCGTTTTCTGTCCTCATTAAGAATCTGGGATCATAAAGTGAAGGGTCAGTGAAAAAGGGGAAGGCCCTCAACGAGATGGATTGACACAGTGGCTGCAGTGATAGTCTCTCAGGTATAGCAAGGATTCTGAGGCTGGCGCAGGACTGGGCAGTGTTTCATTCTATTGTACATAGTATTGCTATGAGTTGGAGCCGACTCAACGGCACCTAACAACAACAATGCCACTCTCCAGTGGTCCAAAATCACTCTACCTACAGGTATCCAATGATCTCAGTGTCTCCTTCCTTTTCTTCATTATCAAAACTCCCATTTCTTGAGAGCATTTCAGTTAGATTTCTAAGGGCTCTGAATAAGGAGACAGGCGAGCCTTCTGTTAAATCACTCCCTTCCATCATCTAGTTCAGGGATTGGCAAACTTTTTCAATGAAGTGCCAGATAGTAATATTTTAGACTTTGCAGGCTTATGGTTTCTGCCACAACTACTCAGTTCTATGATTTTAGCAAGAAAGTAGCTATGGATAATACATGAACAAATGAGTATGGTAATGATCCAGTAAAACTTTATTGACAAATTCTAGCCCAAGGAAAAAGGAGTGTTGGGATTTCTAGTCAATTCACCATGGAGGTCTTCAGCTCCAGTAAGGATAAAGGAAAGGATTCTGGGAAGTTGTAGCAGTAGGAAAGTTCTTTTTAGCCTCTTATCACCCTCTCAGTTCTTTTCTTTCTGAGAGTGATCCTTGGCATCTTCCTGTCTTTCCCCATCTCTGCAGCTCCCCACTGCCAGTATATTGACTATGGGCAGTGAATTTTTAAAAACAATGATTATTAATAAATTACCAAGTGAGTGTTGCTAGTTTTAGCTCTTCAACAGTTCTTAAAATTTTCCCTGTTTTCCATTCCTATTAGCCCTGCATGAGTTCGGCCTTTGGCTCTTACCTAGACTATTGCAGTGATATTCTAACTGGGTTCCCTGGCTCTGTCTACCACAGAGTAGCCAGCCTCATTTGTCTTAAATGCAAGTCTGACCAAGTCACTTTCCCATGTAGAATCCTTTAGTCAACACTAGAGATTCAGGTCCAGACTCCATGGTTTACCACACTGAGTCCCTATTTCCTTGCCAGCCTTATCTCTCTCTACCACTCTGCCTCAAAAGTTAGGTTTGTACGTTTTTGGTTTTGGTTTTGGTTTTGGTTCTTTGCCACACCATGCTATTTCATGTCTCACGGCCCTTGCTCATGCCATTCTCCATGCTTAGAAGTCCCTTCTCCCATCCTTCACAGGCTGAATAATTCTTTCTAGGTAGCTTCTCTGAACCCTCAGGTTGGGCCAAAGTCTCTTCTTTGAGCACCCATCTCACCCTTTGCTTACCTCTGTCTTAACACCAACCAGGTGGTATTGAAGTTCGCTGAGTTAGCTACTTAGTTCCCCTTTAGCATTTATGCTTGTCCCCCAAACACCTATCAAGAAAGTTGTCATGGTACAGATTCTCAATAAATGCTCATAGGCTGCATAAACCACTGGATGGAGCCTTCAAATTGAGCTTTGTGGAGCATAGTGCCTAAGGCACTTGACTGCTAACCAGAAAGCTGGCAGTTCAAGCCCACCAGCCACTCCTCGGAAGGAAGGTTGGGCAATCTACTTCTGTAGGTAGTGATACCACCTCAGAAACCCAAGGAGGGATTGCTATGAGTTGAGTCCTACTTGACAGCACGTAACAGCAACAGTGGGCTTGAGGTAGGAAGGGAGGGTGTCACTATTCATCCATATGTAAATAAACCCATTTCCAAGTCATGAGTCCTAATCTTAATTCACAGGAATTGGGGCTCCTCTCAGCTGTGGCTTCCCAGAACTGCCAGAAGCAGTGATGCAGCCATCTGAGTCCTACTAAGTTCAGACCCAAGGAAATTTAGAAGCATGTCAGAATATGCTTTATTTTACTTTTGATTCATTATATAAAAACGATACTACTACTGGCCTTATATTCATCAGTTGACTTTTCTGCCTAATTTTCATGTAACACAATTTAAAAAATACACGACATTAAATGTCACTATTTAGTTTGTAAATTTTATTTAATTATTATGCTATAGAATATTTATGCATATTTAGCCTTTGGTTGAACCTTATGTTTATGTGCATGACATGTTTTTTTACTTTTATTATATTTATTTATATTATACACATTAATGAATTTGGATTTATTTGAATTTGGATTTTTATTTGCTATTTTAAAGCTAAGGAGTTCTGGTAGCACAGCAGTTAAAGCATCTGACTACTAACCAATGGGTTGTCAGTTTGAGTGCACCAGCTGCTCTGCAGGAAAAGATGAGGCAGTCTGCTTCCATAAAGACTTACAGCCTTGGAAACTCTATGTGGCACTTCTACTCTATCCTAAAGCATCGCTATGAATCAGAATCTACTTAATGTCAGTCAGTTGTTTTGTGTTTTTCTTTTTTTTTTTTTAAATTTTGATTGTGATTTGGGTGAAAGTTTACAGAGCAAATTAATTTTCCATATAGCAGTTCATACATATTTTGTTTCATGACACTGACTGCAATTCCCCACAGTGTAATAGCTCTTTTCCCACTTCTTCCCTGTAGTTACCTCTTCCTTGTCCTTCCTTCTAATGGCAGTAAGTTTTTTTTCCCTTCATTCTAAAATTGCTCATTTTAAATTATTCATACATTGGTCATATAGCAAAGCAGGGATCTAGCATATAGGAAATCATTACATATTAATGTTTTGAAAAATGGTGAGATACAGAGCTGTTTTGAAAAAATGTGATATATAGGCAAAAACTTAAGTTTCAAGTGAGGAACTGAAAAACAGTTGTGGGAGGTAGATGTTTTAGTCTGTGTAATCAACAAATGTTAAAGTATGCTATTTCCTTTAAAAACAACTCTAGGGTCAGTTGGACCTCTTAAGGAGCAGTACCGGCCTTCTGTATAGAATAAAGGACTCTCAGAATGCTGGGTAAACACCTTTTTTCTTTTCTTAAAATTTTAAGAAAATTTGAATTATTATGAAAGTAATATATGTGTTGAGAAAAAAACCCAATATAGAATTGCATAATGTAAACCTGTCCTATGTATCATCCCCACCTTCTTTCATGAGTCCCATTTCCCAGATACAACTACTTTTAACAATTTGGTATGTATCCTTCCTTCTAGATACATATAAATACATATAGATGATTATATATTTATATACTATATATTTATATATAATCTCTTTTTCTTTCTTTTCTTTTTTTTTTAAATGAGATCATGCTATCCATACTATTTTGCATCTTGTTTTTTTCACTTACTATATCTTGGACATCTTTTCATGTTGGTACATACAGATCTGTGTCATTCTTTTTAAGGTAAGCACTTGTTTTGGTAAATAAGTCAATTTGATAACATTGTCTGCTAATTCACTTGATTAGTCATGTAAATTAATAGATTACACTGTAATAGATTATCCTTTGCCTTTTTAATTCTCCTTTTTTCTTTGCAGTAAAATGAAGGGATCAGATAACCAAGAAAAACTAGTATATCAAATCATAGAGGATGCAGGAAATAAAGGTAAGTGTGTAAAGGAACAAAGTGAAAAAACATTTGGGACTACAGAAGGATTGGAATCTGGCTTTCCAAAGTATACATCAGTGTGTAGAGTATGCTGCCATTTGTGTTGAAGGAGAGGAAAAGAATATAGAATCCATATGCTAGAGAGACTCCCTTCGCCCCCAAGTGATGCCATTATTGCCTCTTGAGAGGCAGAAACTGGACAACTGTGGCCCAGAGTCTAGTCTTTGGAAAGAGACTTCTGACTTCTGGACCATATAAACATATTGTCTGTTCAAAATAAGTAAAACTTAAGTTTTTAATCCTCACTTTTTAACTATATGACTTTGGATAAATTAATTAAAACTTTGTAGGCCTCGGTTTCTTGGTCTTCTCTATTTGTGGATAATAACATCTCTCTGGTTTTTATAAGGATTAAATGTAGCACAGATAAAGTGCAGTATGGCAGCATCTAACATATCAGACAGTGTCAACAGCTATTAGGTTCTCCTGCTACCCTCTGTAATAAACTACTGTTAGTAGTTTATTATTTTTTGATGTAATCTTAAATTGTATAGTTAATTCTTATATTTTGATGTAATCTTAAATTGTATAGTTAATTCTTATATTTATTCATAAGAAAATTAAATTAACATCTTAAAAATATAAGAAAGCATACTGCCAAAAAAAATAATAAACAAATAAAGTGAAATGATCATTCTGGGAAAAAATAAATGAAATGAAAACAAAGAAGTGAGCATTTAAAAAAATATATGAGAAAGCTATTCTCAATTTTAAAAACATATTTTTTCTTCTTTATGTCTCTACACTGGGAAGAAGATAAAGCATTTCTTCATAAAATTCCCTTTTTATGTATAATACTTATTTTCTTCTTTGAGGGAAAAATCATAGCTTCCCCTGCAGGGCTTTTTCTAGTGATAAGATCCAGTCCTCCTTATTCTATCTCACAGGCAAAGCGTTGTGTACATAATGGGTATACATACACATAGTCCCTCACCTATAGGGTTTTTTTGCTTTCATTTAAGTTGAGGATGACAGCTGAGTCTGACCCAAATTTAAGTTTATTTCTTACATTTATTTCCATCTAAGATGAAAATGGGAGCTCTGGTAGCATAGTACCTAAGGCACTTGACTGCTAACCCGAAGACTGGTGGTTCAAACCCACCAACCACTCCTCGGAAGGAAGATGGGGCAGTCTACTTCCATAGTGATACTGCCTCAGAAACCCAGGGAGGGGTCGCTATGAGTCGGGGCTGACTCGACAGCACATAACAACAACAACAAAGGTGAAATATTAGAGAATAGAGATTGGGGTATAGATAGGATAGAAGAGACAATATAAATTAATTCTCAAGAGTTTTTCTTCTATTATGAAAATATCCGTCTCATACATTTTTAAAAAGATACCATGCTAGGATTCTAAGAAATTTCCAGGTAGAAGATATCTAACATTGTTTTCCTTTTGTTTCTTTTTTTTTATTGTGATTTGGGTAAAAATTTACGGAGCAAATTCACTTTCCATATAGCAGTTTACATACACTTTGTCTCATGACATTAACTACAATTTACCACAATGCAACAGCTCCCCTCCCACTTCCTCCCAATAGTCACCTCTTCCCTGTGTCCATCCCTCCATGCACTCCTGCCCCCTGAGCTGTCTCCCTGTGCATAAACAGCCCTTCTTTCTCCCGTGATTTTTCTCTCCAAGGAGTGTATCTGCCTCGGGTAAATAAATGTTCAACTCATATGCCTGTCTTTTGTTTGGCTGAAAGGCACAGGAGTGGGTTCAATTCCAGACCTGAAGGGCAGTTAGGGAGGATAGACTCAGTGGTTCCACCAGGCTCTATCAGACCAGCAAACCTGGTCCCCCCTTCCCCTTTTTTTTTCCCAAATGATTTTGAGTTTTGTTCCGTATTGTTGTCCCTCTCTATCTAGGATTTCCTACATAAATCCCCCTACAAGTGATTGACAGTGGTAGCTGGGCACCATCTAGTTCTTCTGGTTTCATAGTCATATAGGCTGTGGATCACATGGTGTACCAGTCGCTAGGACTAATTGTTTCCATGAATCTTTGGTCTTCTTCATTCCTCTTTGCTCTGGACGAGGAGAGACCCATCGTTGCATCTAGATGGCTGCTTGCAGGCTTTTAAGATCCCAGTCACTACTCACCAAAGTAGGAGGTGGAACAGTGTTTTGTGTAGTATGTTATACCACTTAAGCCTGATGTTCCCTGTGACTATGGTCCCGAGCCCACAGGTTCAACTACTCAGTCCCTCTGGGTAGCTGGCTGTGACCAAGAAGTGACAACAACCTTGTCCCTTGTCAGCCCTACTGTACCCCTGGGAATTCTTACAGAACATACAAATACACTTGTAGAACCATTGTCTGACAACCCTATATATGATCTTGGGTATATTCCCTGCTGCAAAGACATACCTAATAGTTCAGCCTGCCCACCCATCTATCTACCGGTATACCTGTGTTTGCCTTCATTGACAACACAGTACTGTATGTGCAGAATGCTTCATCTTTGTTGTCTGTACCCCCCATATACCTCTCTATGTCTTCCTCTTCCTCAATGCCAACATGTTGATCATTCACAGTTGGTACATTGCCCTTCTCTTCATCCAAATAAATATTCTTCTCCACCTATCTAACAGTGTTCCCTGTCCTCTCCCCTCCCACCCCGGTAACCAACAAAGAAAATTTCCTTCCACAGATAAACCTTTCCTTGACTTTTACAATAATGAACTAATTCAATATTTGTCCTTCTGTGATTGACTTATTTCCCTCAGCATAATGTCCTACAAGTTCATCCACGTTATGTGGTGTTTTGCAGATTCTAGGTTATTCTTTAGAGTTGCATAGTATTCCACTGTGTGTATGTACCATAGTTTGGTTATCCATTCCTCAGTTGATGGACACAAGATATCTAACATTGTTTTTCATATTTCTGTTACTTTGTCTGAGGTTTTACTGCTAAGTCACGTAATCTTTCCTAGAATGAAACTACATAAAACTTTCTGCTTAATGGACTTACTGTCTGCTTTATTTTACTAGTTTTGAATGAGATACTAGTAATTGGAATATGTACAAAAATCCTATGGTGTTCAACTAACTTTACTTTTCTTACAGGAATATGGAGCAGAGATATCCGATATAAAAGTAACTTGCCACTAACAGAAATCAACAAAATTCTAAAGAATTTGGAAAGCAAAAAGCTTATCAAAGCTGTTAAGTCTGTGGCAGTGAGTAATTTTCTTTCTTCCCCAAATATTCACTTAACATTTGTTGCTTCAAATATGTTAGGAGTTTTTATTGTTCTTTAAGCTATGTCATGATCGAAAACAGCTGGTCGAAACAGATTTTTTAAAATTCAGTTGATACTGGATTAGTTTTGAGGTGCTACTTAGACTTGTCACTGCCTAGTGATGTCTTCATTGTGAGGATGGTGCAGGACTAGGCACTGGTTCATTCTGTTGTACATAGGGTCACTATGAATTGGAACTGACTTGATGGCAACTAAAATCAGTGATGTTTTGAGTGGTGTTTTACCCACTCAAATATCTAAAACTATTTTACTCTCTTCAGTGAAGAATTTTTGGAGTTAGGAATATTTTTCCTGAACTTTATGGCATGTTAGATAATTTATTCTCACATACTGATTTGTTAATTCAACAAATAGTTACTGAACATTTGCTATGTGTCTGGCACTGTTCTAGGTGCTTGGGATAAATCAATGAACAAATCAGAGAAATATCCCTGTCCTGATGTAGTATCTGTGCCAGTGCATTAGTGTATTTTCCCTTCTCATCCAGCCCCACCCTATCCCATCTTTCAGGTGCTCCCTAATCTAGAGCTCACAGAATAGTGGGTTTATTAGGGAAGCAACAGGCTACAATTCAAATTCTGGAACGTGCTCAGTCTCTCTCAGCCAGCCATCTCACTCAGCAACCAGCCATCTTTCTCAGTAGCACATCTCTCTCAGCAGTGTGTGCCTCTTGCATCTCTCTCTCAGAAGCATGTCTCTCACATCTCTCTCTCAGTAGCACATCTCTTTCAGCAGTACATCTCTCTCAGCTGGCAGTCAGAGAGATTCCTTCTGCCTCTAGGAGGGCTCCTTTTGAGCCTGGCAGAATGGCTAAAACCAACCAATCCCAACATCAGAATTCTATACACCTGAGAGAGAGCAGACTTCCCAGAAAATTACTATGTGCTGCTCCCAAAAGAACTTTAACAATCAGGAGCTACTCAGTTGCTCACAGCAAATTCCACACAGAGTTTACAAAGACTATAGTTAGAAAAGCAATACTATGTAATTTACTACACTGCAGTTACAAATTTCAGCATATAAGAATTTGATGCTTATCAGTGATTTTATTTATCAAATTATATTTATTTTGTATTTCTTTATTAACAGAATATTATTTCCCTACCACATTTTTTAATGAAAATATTCAAACATGTACAAAAATAGACAAAATAATGTTATGAACCCCCATGTACCCATCACTTGTCTTGACTTTCCAGTTGTCCTTCTACTTCTTTTTGCCTATTTTCCTTCTGTTTTTTTGTTTTGTTTTGTTTTTGTTTTTAATAAATAAGAAAACAATCCAGGTTGTTGAATTGCTCTATGTTCTGTTTTGTATATTCTCAACAACAATATTTTTTAAAAAAGAAAGAAACCCCATTAAAAATGGGCAAAAGCTCTGGACAGACAACCTCATCAAAGAAGATATGTTATTGCTAGTTGCTGTTGAGTTGATTCCAACTCATGGCAACACAGTGTGTTCAGAGTAGAACTGCTCCATGTGATTTTTCAAGGCTGTGCCCTTTTGGAAGCAGATTACCAGGCCTGTCTCCTGAGGTACCTATGGGTATATTCTTAATGCCAATCTTGCTGCTTAACCATTTGTGATACCAAAGGACTCAGAAGATAACGTTGTTTGTTGTTGTTATGTGCCATCAAGTTGGCCCCAACTCATAGCGACCCCTCCTTGGGTTTCTGAGGCAGTATCACTACGGAAGTAGATTGCCCAACCTTCCTTCCAAGGAGTGGCTGGTGGGTTTGAACTGCCAGCCTTCTGGTCAGTAGTCAAGTGCCTTAGGCACTATGCTACCAGAGCTCCTAAAAAAAGATATACTAATGACAATTCAGTGTATGAACAATGCTCAACATTTTTTATTATTTAAGTGCAAATTACAACAATGACATGCCACTACACACCTATTAGCATTGCTAAAATTCAAAAAAAATAAGGCTGACAAAACTAGCTGTTGGCAAGGCAGCAAGACAATAGCAACTTTCTTTGCCAAATGAGCCTAACTCATATTTTGTAAATATGGGCTGCACTTCCTTCCAGATAAAAAAAAGAAAAAAAAGTACCCTTGAGAAACCTGACAAACACTGCTTCAGCCAGGTGATCAAAGTTTACATCAACAGTGATAAATTATGAACTTGATCTTGATCTTGATGTAATGTGATGAGAAGACACTTTAGCTCTGTGGTTTTCCTCCCAAAAACACAGTACTCCAATCTAATCTTTAGAAAAATGTCAAATCCCATTTGAGGGATACTCTAAGAAAGTCTGAAAAATGGTCCTAGCCAAGAGGACCCTACAGAGAGGTGATAACTAAATGTAATGTGCTATCCTGGATAGGACGCTGGAACAGAAAAACAACATTGGGAAAAAAGTGAGGGATTTTGAATAAAGCATGGAAGTAGTTAATGATGTATTAATAGAGACCCACTAACAGGAGCTTTGGTAGCAGAGTGCCTAAGGCACTTGACTGTTAACCAGAAGGCTGGTCGTTCAAACCCACCAGACGCTCCTCAGAAGGAAGGTTGGGCAATCTACTTCCGTAGTGATACCGCTTCGGAACCCAAAGACGGTCCGCTATGAGTCTGCTCCGACTCGACGGCACATAATAACAACAACACAATTGTGATTTACATACATACTGATGTAAGATGTTAACAATAAGAGCAACTGGGTGTGGGATATACAGGAACTCTCTGTAGTGTCTTTACAGTTTTACTATATGTCCGGAACTTCTAAAATATAGTTTATTTAAATAACAAAAAAAAAGTAATCTTAGTTTTTAGAAACATTATCTTCTAAACACAGGCTTTACATGTTCTTTCTTAGGCCTCAAAAAAAAAGGTGTATATGCTCTATAACCTGCAGCCAGACCGGTCTGTGACAGGTGGAGCCTGGTACAGTGACCAGGATTTTGAATCTGAATTTGTAGAAGTGCTTAACCAACAGTGTTTTAAATTCCTACAAACCAAGGTAAGGCATAAGAGAGGAAACATCATTGCCAATTTTATTCTTTTTAAAAAAATTTCCTCAAAAACAGTGTGTTGATTTTGTGTATCATATTATATAGGAATTGAACATACTGAAACTGGTCATTTTAGTAAGCAAACTATGTTCTGCTGTTGGTTTGACTGTATACATTGTAATCAGAAAACACCAATACTCTTGCTGAAATCTCTTATGCCTCTATCCTTATAGGCAGAAACAGCACGAGAAAGCAAACAGAATCCAATGATACAAAGAAATAGTTCATTTGCTTCATCACATGAAGTATGGAAATATATCTGTGAACTGGGCATCAGTAAGGTCAGAATTCAGTTTCTAACCTGTTCATATAATTTTCATCTTTTTTTTTTTTAAATTTACTCTGTATCATGGGGATTAAGTTTCTAGTGCATCCCAAATATATTTGGCCCAGAACTCTTTTTCCAAGTGACACCTGTGAACACCTGTGAAAATACATTGCATCTGGCAAAAGCAGTCACTGCCATTGTCTGAACTGTTCTTGAGCTTGAGACTAAAGAGCAACAGAGTAGAGGCCTCGCCATGCATTTCAGTACCAAGATTCCAGTCTGTTCTGTCAAGTTCTTGACTTTCTCAGGGACATTTCAACATATGTGCAAAGCTGCAATTGCCATTTATTGGTATTTTCCTACTTAGGAATTTTAAGTGGTATTATCAGGAAATTACTTTGAAGACCTGTACATGAGGACATGTATAGGATGGCTTTCATGATCAGCAAAGAAGCTGTAGTGGCCACTTGGACAAGTAATTTTTATTGCCTGGGCCCTAGATTTCTCATTTATAAAACTAGGAGCTTGGACTGTTTGATGTTAAAAGTACCTTCCTGCTCTAGCATTTTATAAGTCTCCATCAAATTCTTGTCAAAGAAATGTTACTTTATAAGTCTTTTAGATTTTACTTAGGAGGGTGAAGACATCAGAAAATGTCAAACTCAGAATGAAGTTAGAGTTCTGTCCTCTAGCTTTTCAGTGAGTTGTGCTAACTTAACCATTGTTCAGTTTCTTTGTGCTTTGGCTAGATTATTCTTCTCCAACATAATTCATAATTCTTCCCCATTTCACTCTTTACTATTTGTAACCTATCCAAAGGATGGCTCCTTTTCTTTTTTGTGTCCTTTCTAACATATCCCCTTTTTAGGTAGAGTTGTCTATGGAAGATATTGAAACCATCTTGAACACACTCATTTATGATGGGAAAGTGGAGATGACTATCATCGCTGCAAAAGAAGGCACAGTTGGCAGTATAGATGGACATATGAAACTGTATAGGGCAGTTAGTCCAATCATACCACCCACAGGTTTAGTTCGGGCCCCCTGTGGACTCTGTCCGGTAAGTTAAAGTGGTTTTAAGAAACTAAGTGCAAATGCCACATAATACAACAAAGCAAGCATATCTAGTTTTCTTCAACTTTTAGTGTGGGCCAACTCTTGCCCAAACTTCTACATAATCATAACTAACTGACCTTCACTAACCAAATCATTGCCTTAGGTTCTTTCTTGGAATAGCTAGGTTAAGGAAATTTGCACTGTCTCCTGTTGGACCTAAAATGTATGTTTTTTTATTAGGGCCAGCTAATCTTGGAATAGCTAGGTTAAGGAAATTTGCATTTTCTCCTATTGAACCTGAAATGGATATTTTTGATCAGGGCTAATTATTTAAACCAAGCAGGGTAGAAACAGATTTGTTGAGTACCTACTGTGGGCCAAAGACATTCTTGATGATTCTCATACAAGGTCTCATTTAAAATTCTTTCTATGACCCCAAGAGCTAGTGGTGTTATTGCCCCAAAGAATGAGTGAACCAAGGCTTAGGGATACCTAAGAGCATATAGCTTAGAAGTAACAAGCAAAATTCAAACCGAGAGATAATATTCTTTCCCATTCAGGCTGCCTCACTCTACATTCATTCATTCCACAGAGTTTCTGAGTGTATGCTGTAGGCACTGAAGATATAATAGTGAGCAAGGGACACTACCACAGACCTCATGGCATTTGTATTCTTGAACTGCTAGTCTGTGTTTTATTTCACTAATACTATACTGGTCCTGTCTGTATGCCTAAGCTCTCCATGGTCTGATTTCATTTGCTAGAAAAAAGTCTATATAATGGGAATTAGCACTCTTCACATAAAGAAAAGTAACTAAACATGAAATAATTGGTTAATCAAAATTAAGTCATTCATATTTGTATTTGTATGTTGCCTGCTGATGATAGCCTTTCACCCAGTGAGCAAGTGAACATGATCATGTTAATGCTACAGTAAAAGGCTCTCATTAACTAACTTCATGATCACCAAGCAGGTCTTCTTACAATAATCTTAAATGAGTCCTAATCCCTTTGAATTTGAAATTTTTGTTTTTAATATTGCTTTAAATAAATGGTTGGGTCTTGGATGTCTTGTTAACAGAAATTTTAGTTGTAGTTGACATTTGATTTAAGACTATACCTATAATGTAATAATGTTAAAACTTCAGTTTGGTCTTAAAACTTTTTTCCATTTTAAAGGTTTTTGAAGACTGCCATGAAGGTGGGGAGATTTCACCATCTAACTGTATTTACATGACAGAGTGGCTCGAATTTTAACGGAGAGCTATAAACTTTACTGACATTTTGCAAATGAAGTTACTTTGGGAGCAAACCATTTTTTCTTGAAAGGAAACTTCACAATAATGGATACAGACTTGCTGCTATGAAAAAAGTATCTATTTATGAAGATTGAAACTATTGGTAGGATAGCCAGTAGAACATGAAACAGATAAGGTTAGTAGTGAAAACTATTCTTTCTTCTTAAATTAAATACTTTGAAGCTCTGAAGAACCACATGTTTTGACTTTTAAGATTTTTGGTATTGGTTCAAGGAAAAAGAAGCAAACACATCCATACTAACGAAGAACTTTGGTAATGGCTAGAGTTTAAAATGCCAGTTTCAAAGTTATTTATAAGGTCTTCATTGGCTATTTTTCCATTTCTGTTTTCTAGTTTACTTCGTGATTACACTGAGAAAAAATTAAGAGAGGAGTGGAGGCAGGAATAGCAAGCAAATTGGGAGAGAACATCACATTTCCACAGGAAAGATCAGAAGCATTCTTTCAAAGAATTATGCCACCATAAAAAAACCAAACCCATTGCCATCAGGTCAATTCTGACTCAGTGACCCCCACTGGGTTTCTGAGGCAGTAAATCTTTATGGAAGTAGATTGCCCAGTCTTGCTTCTGCAGAGTGGCTGGTGGGTTTGAACCACCAACCTTATGATAAGCAGTTAGATGCCTTAGGTGCTATGCTACTATACATAACCTCAAATCCAAATGATGACTATTGTCAACAGTGTTTTCAGTGTGTAAATATTACAGAATATTGTCACTGTTCTTTCTTTGTTTCATAAAGCCACAAATTTCACTTCATGGCTCAATTGCATTATTTGCTGGAATTTCTCCCTACATTTTTTTTTTAATATCTAATTGTTGTTATTTGCTGTCGAGTTGGACCTGACACCAGTCAAGTGCCTTAGACACTATGCTACCAGAGCTCCTAATACCTAATTAATAACTTAAAATTAAAACTAAAAATAATCCATTGCCCTTCATACATTATTTTGGGAGGTACCATTCTTTTCTTGGCCACTTAGATTACTTTTTCCTTCTCTATTCTTTTCTAAAATGCATGCTGTAATGTGTAAATTGCATGTCAACTAATTAGAAAGCCATTATCATTTTCCTCGGTTCTAATTGGCCATTTTGGATATTTAAAGTGACCCAGGGTGCAGCCGTTTTGAATCTTTAAAAGTGGCAGCCATTTTGGATTTTAAAGTGATAGCATTGTCATTCAGATTCCAGGGACCTAAGAATAGGCTGTGTTTACTAAGGTCAGCAGGGACATACAAGATGCTGACAACAGGAAAAGAGACAGGTGATGATGTATAAGTGCTGCCCACTAGCAAATAGAGGAGCACAGCCCACTACCCTGCTTAGGTAGATAACATACAAACAAACAAAACAAAATGAAAATTGTAGGCAAGTCATTCCAACATTTAAATCACCAATTAAATATAAACACAAAAATGTCCCAATGCCTCGGAGATAACAGAGCATCACAGTGCACACAAAGAAGCAAGATAAAGCAGGACAAACAAAGGACCGGGATACAGACCCAAAATACATCCCTGAGGAAGAAGCAGCATTGGAACTCCCTGATAAGGAATTCAAAAGAATTATATTTACATATCTTCAGTGAATTGAGAGACAGATCAGAGAAAACACAGAGCAAACACTACAGCAATTTTCAAAGACAATACAAGAACAAATGACAAAATAAATGAAAAATTAGAAGTGATACACTAAAAAATCTACACACAGAAATCCAGAAGATGAATGCTAATTTTCAGAAATAGATAAGACATTGGGCAAAGAAACAGAATTGAATCAATGGAAGACAGAATTAGGGAGGTTGAAAGCAAATACCTAAACACTTCTTTGGAAAGGGATAAATAAGAAAAAAGAGCAAAACAAAATGAAGAAAGCCTAAGGTTCATGTGGGATACCATCAAAAGAAATAACCTACATGTAATTGGAATTCCAAAACAGGAAGACACAAATAAACCCACAGAGAAAATTGTCAAAGATTTGTTGGAAGAGAATTTTCCTGGTATGGTGAAAGATGAGAATATATCCAGTCAGGAAGACATACCTCAAACAGATGGACCCCAAAAGAAAATCAACCAGACATATTATCATCAACTCACCAAAACCAAAGACAAAGAAAGAATCACGAGAGCAGCACGGGAAAAAAGAAAAGTTACCTACAAGGGGCAACCAGTAAAACTAAGCTTGGATTTCTCAACAGAAACCATGCAGGTAAAAAGACAATGGGATGGTATATATAAAACACTGAAGAAGAGCAATTTCCAACCAAGAATTATGTACCCAGCAAAATTGCCCCTGAAATATGATGGTGAAATTAGGACTTTCCAGATAAGCAGAAATTAGGGGAATTTGTTAAAATCAGACCAACCTTACAAGAGACACTAAAAGGTGCCCTTTGGACAGAGAAGCAACAACAGCAAATAACAACTGACCATTAACACACGTAATGATATAACCCAGAAACCAACCCAGCTATAGAAGTATCCAAAGTAAATAAGCCTACACGATTGTAAACAGGGAACCAGAGACATCAATTGACAAATGAGGACAACTACAAACCAAAAAGAGGGGAAAACTGTGTCATTACAGAACTTCTAGATGGCAGGGGAGTCAAGACAACTACAAGATAGAACAGACTGTTCTAAACTTGGGGAGAAAACTATAAATCACAGGGTAACCTCAAAGAAAAATGATAAACATTCACATCAAAAAAGAGGACCAGCATAAATATTCAGCAAATACTAAAACAATAGCAATGAAGGAAGTGATAACACGATTCATAAACAAAACGAGCTCAGCATAGAAAATTATATGGAATAAAGAAATCGACACCACGACATAACAAAAAAGACAGCAACAAATTTTTATTTGCCCATAATTACATATCTGGCAAGGGACTTATTTCTAAGATTTATAGCGAAAGAGTGGATGAGCAAGCTATGGTACATACACATAATGGAATGTTATGAAGTACTAAAGAATAATGTACAGTCTGCAAAACACTGCATAATATGGATGAAGTTGGAGGACACTATGCTGAGTGAAATAAGTCAATCACAGAAGGACAAATACAGTAATAGTTTGTTGTTGTGGAGGGTCAATGAAAGGTTTATATATGGACGGAAACTTTCTTTGTTGGTTGCCAGGGGTAGGAGGGGAGGGGAGGGAACACTACAAAATACACTTAGTGTATTTCACTGTACATAAATTATATTGGAATAAAATACTTTAAAAAAAAAAGGGTGCTGGATTTTATTGAATGCTTTTGCTGCATCAGTTTAAATGATCATGTGGTTCTCTTCCTTTGTTCTGTCAATGTGGTGCACTGCAGTGAATTACTTAATATGGCCCTTCTAGCCATAGTCTTCCAATTTGTGATGTATTGTAAATCCTAGCATGTTTAGGGTTAGATGTATCTTGAGTCCCACCTTGCTAGAGGATGTGACTCAAGTCACCACTACCCTTAGTTTCCTTAAGGGTATTTATGTAAATGTTCTAGGAAAGTTCACTCTCTCTTGCTCCAGATCCTGCATTTCATTCATCATCATCTCACCCCTGGACTTGAGATAGTCAGTTGTCTGACCTGCTGATTTGGGTTCGCCAGCCCCTGCAACTATGTGAGTGAGGAGAATCCTCTCAGCCTATACCTGACCCACTGATTTGAGACTTGCCAGCCTCCTAGCTTCTACCCCACATGAGCCATTTAAAGCAAGGGTGCTGGATTTTATGAGTCTGTGAGTTCTGTCAGATGTTAACAAAATACGGAACCCTAAGGAAGGAGAGTACTGAGGAAAGGAGGAGGAGCTGATGTTAGAGATGATGGCATGGCACATAAGTTTGGAAAAATTGTACATTTGGAACATCTTTAACCTCCACCTCATAGGGACCAGCCTTGTGCTGATCCTTCTAAAATAAATTGTTTGACAAGGTTGGCAGACGATATTTCTACATACGTATTTGTATGTACTGTTAGATTGTCTTTATATATAATAGAGCCAACAAGGGGCAAAGTTATGATAACTTCTTAGCCAAAGCCAACCACCCTGAAGGAGCAAGTAGGTTCAGGACCATGGTTGCAAGAGACATCAAGCCCAACTGATACAACATACTACACAAAACATTTTTCTACATCCTACATTGGTGAGTAATGGGCTGGGGTCTTAAAAGTTTATAAGCAGCCATCTAGATGCAGCAATGGGTCTCTCATTGTCCAGAGCAAAGATGAAAGAAGAAAACCAAAAACACATGGAAATAATTAGTCTTAGGGACTAGAGGACCATGAGAACCACAGCCTATGTGACTATAAGACCAAAAGAACAAGATGCCAACCACTCAGAAAGGGATCAGTGCATGAGACCCTGGATAGAATGGGACAAAAATGTGGAACAAAGCTCAAAATCATAAAAAGACCAGGTTTACTGGTCTGATAGAGCCTGGTGAGACCCTCAAGACTATAACCCCTAGTTACCCTTCAGGCCTGGAATTGAACTCACTCCTGTGGCTTCCAGCCAAACAATAGATAGGCATATAGGTAGAATTACATCAGGTAGATACCCTCCTTAGGATAGTCAAACATGGGAGAACAAAAAAAAAAAAAACAACTCACTGCCATCAAGTCAAAGTCAATCCTGACTCATAGTGACCCCCTTTGGGTTTCCAAAGTAGTAAATCTTTATGGAAAATCTTTACAGAAGTAGATTACCCAGTCTTCCACGGGGTGGCTGGTGGGTTTGAACCACCAACCTTCTGGGTAGCAGGGTAGAGGGGAGAACAGAAGAACAGTATTTGAGCAGGAAGATAGCTCAGGTGGCAGGAATGCATAAGAAAGAAGGACACAAAGGAGAGGTAACTACAAGGAGGAAATGAAAGAGCTGTTACACTGTGGGGAATTGCAGTCAATGTCATGAAACAAAATGTGGATGAACTACTGTATGGAAAATGAATTTGCTCTGTAAACTTTCACCCAAATCAAAATAAAAATTTAAATAAATAATTTAAGCATGTGGTATATAACATTGACTGACTTTCTAATGTTGAACCAACCTTGCAATCCTGGATTCAGTCTCACTTGATCATGATATATAATTCTTTTCCTATGCTGTTGGATTCTGTTTATTAATATTTTGTTGAAAAGGTTGTCAACTATATTCATAAATAAGGTGGATCGGTC